GTTCAGTTTTTTATTTGGAGAAGTATTTTTTAACTAAATCAATCATATTCCTTTCAAGAAGTTTGTAGGGAAGCGAGTAATCGTAAATATTAGGTTTCTAAGGGATTTTAGGGTCCTGAGAAAAAGATCTCAGTCCTCAGGGTGATATAAAAAAAATCCGTTGCATTATATCTAGTTCAACTTTCGATAAGTTGGTGACAAAATGAGACTCAAGTTACCAATTCTAAGACAAATAATCTTATTTCATTGCAGGCATTTTTTTGCCAACCTATGACATGAAGCAAAAAAAATTTGTTCTTGTTTGGAAAAAAAGAATAATAGGTAGAGAGCAATCCAGTTAATAAGGAAAAAATAAACATTTCTAACGACCAGGAAATTATTCTAACAAGATCAGATTTGATGTTTTTTTCTGTGAGACAACAGAGACGAAATTTAACACGCCAATTGCGCTGGAAAAATAAACAGTTCGGCTTAGATAGTGATGTGGAGGCCCACGAAAAATGTTGAAAGTGTTAATGAGGTTGTCAGATGCTTCTCGATTTCCCTTCAGGCCTCAATGCAACTTTCGAAGTACTCTACGACAAAATCAAGTCACGAACGGTGTCGCGATAGAACAGCCGGGATTCCGTTGTTTTCTTAAGCGCGCACTTACTGTATTCGATAACCAAATCGATTGATCAGAATGTAATGGTAAAAAATCGATGACATCTGCACATGAAGTCATTCATTGTTATATATTTTTAAAAGATTACCCTAAGCTTTTGCAGAACTCGTCTTAAACAAAGTTACTACCCAGTTACATCGAGCATTAATTCGGGCTCTCGATGTTTGCAAACACAAGCCAAGCAAGTCATGCTAGAGTCTTTTAACACCAAAAATTAACCGAACCGTCCAAAACTTACCACAGAATGGTGTTATGAACTGCTTACGACTGGCACACAGCATAAAAAGAGAGAAACACGATATTTTGGCTTCTAAATTTCCGAAATGTTATCAGACAATTGGATTGAGCGTTTGCTAAACAACCCAGTGGCTGTTGTAAAAGAATGTCTTGACTCAATCGTATGCTAATTTATCTGCGAATTTGACAGGCCTGTGTACAGAGAAAACAAAACCCAAGACAATCCACTATCAACATTACACCCTCACTCCGGCAAAACGACAGAAAGTAAACTTACAGATTTCCTTGCATGCAAAGACTACTTTAAACCCAGCACTAAGAACAACGGCGTCTTCGAATGTTTTTGTCCATGGGAAAGCTTCGCAGTTTTCAAGGAGTAAGCAAATGGATGTCTGAGGGCGAAATTTTGTTTAATTTTCGTCTTTTATTTGTCGCAAGACCTTTGATAAAGCCGCTCTAACTACTAACTGAGACAATCGAGACACATAACAAATATCTACCCACCTTGCTGTCTTGGAAATTGCATCAAATTTTCGATTCTCACACGCAAAAAATAGTCATAATTAAAAGTGTATAAGCACAAAGCCAAAGAGATCAGTGTGGAGTTAAATGATCCGATTTTGACAGGGTACTGCGTTTGATAGGAGAGAAATCCGAGACTATTTTAGTTTGTTCTCACACCTAATTAAAACCAACTGAGCACATTTGTTGATATAGTTACACCTCTTCTTCCTCTAAGGGCCATATTTCTCCTTTATTTCTCCCCTAAGAGCCCAGCAGGTGAATCGCACACTTAGAAAATCTTTTTTCAGAGAGAGCAAAAACCCTTACACGGCCTCTAACGGAAGGCACTTACTTTGAAGACAGCTCCTTCTAAACATTACGGTGCAATGAGGATTAACAGCCCCATCAGGATGTCACGCAATGCTTCAACCCATGCGTGACATCCTTAAGAACCTCTGAAGGGGTCCACGTCCAGTGATACTATACAGCAGCGCAGCGCTTCAATACAAGAGTGGCGTTGACCAAAAAGGAAAAATTAGGTTGGGGAAGGAGTGGACATAAAGAATTTTATTTCGCGTTGAACAGCCTAAGATGGCCAAACGAAGGTTTGGAACTGGTTAGACTGGCATCAAAATTGGGACAGGTTTCCTTCATAGAGTGACGATGGAAAAAATTAAAGATCAAAAAATTTTGTTAGTTTTTATCCTACTCTTCACAGCATAGCAGATTATAAACTGCTTACAATCTCTTGCTTACCGGTTTGAATTTGCTATGGGCTTCAACAGTAAGTTGCCATCTTGTTTACTCATTTCTTGTCAGGAACGATGAACAGATAAAATTTCGTAACACAGTGATAAGGTCCGATAAAGTGACATGTTTTGGTCGAGTGTGGGGAATTCCCGAGAGAAAAGGCAGCCCAAGTTTGATTAGCGAGGAGACTTTTTTATTTAAGAACCATACTTGAATGTTTAGTAGCCCCTGATTGCTAACTATAATCCTAAATGTGCAAATAAACGTTATCTTCCTATCTGGTACATGAGATTTGAGTTTAATTCGTGTTTTTTTCTAAGAATTCTGTGGTTGAGTTCGGTTGTTATGTCGATCGTACCCATATCGAAGGTCTGGGCTTGGCATCATCATGGATTGATCCCTTACGCACGGTCTTTTCAAATGGAAGACAAGAAAGAGCGACCGTCGTCTGAAAAGTGTCACCTACATTTCGCCTGCTAACAGCAAGCTCTCTTCGACTCACTCCGAAAAATAAAGTTAGCGTCTATGACACCTTTTCGTTTGCAACCGTACTTAAGACAGCTTAAAAGTTTCGTTTTGCGCACTCTTAGAACAAATTCCGAGATTTGCACCCTTGAGCAAGATGACGAGCATCCTTACCAAAGGTTTGGAGAACGACCTCGAACAGAAGCCCGGCTGGGCATGAACCCACATTGCACAATAAAAAGCTCTTTGCACATAGGCGATGGGTTACGCTAGAGTTAAAATAAAGACAAGCACGAAGACTGATAAATTTTTGATGTTCTTGCCAATTGTAATTCATAATTTCCCATTCAATTTGCAAAAACCAAAACTCTTTACGCAACATTTACTCAAAATGTCTGATCTCAGTCGTGAATTGTTTTTTCAACTTGTTGATGTAACCGGTGAAATAAATGGTCAAAAATGTTGTGTTCTTACAAACACTATTCAAATGGAGATAGCTTCGCTGATTTATCAATTGTTGATGAGTCAACTCTAGAAATTCTGTACCCCTACTTTTCATGTTTTCTGAACTGACGTTTAAATTTTATAAATTATTGTGGGGTTTTCTCCAGGATAACAAATTGTTAGCCATTTTTTGGTAACTTTCGTAAGATGTAAGCTGCATTGTCCGTGAGTAGAGGTTTATTTCCAATTAATGGACAAAAAGGTCGTTGAATATCCAAACGATTAAAAAGTTATTTTTTTCATAAGCTGAAAACAATCTTAAAACCTGAATAGCCCTCAAAACTGAAGTAACAAAAACTAACAAAGCTTATCCTGTTTTGGGTATGATAATCTGTAATGAATAGGTACACTCTGTTTAGATCCGTTTCAAGGCAGTGCCAGAGCACAATCAAAATTACTTCAGTTCTTCAAGTCCTCCTTGAAGACCTATTCATAGTTCAGTGTTAATCACAGTTTTTAATTAAAGTGGTCGACTAGCACAATGCTACTAATGCAGATGAAAAAAAAATTGTGAACATTAAGAAAGGAGTAATACCTACCACGTGTATTCCATGGAAGTCAAGTTGTCCCTTTCGTCGTTCCGGTAAACCCAGTCAGGTAGTGGAATCTACAATTCAAATCGCGTGCCAAGCTTATATTTTCCGATTTACAAACCTTTGGTAGTTTCCCGTTCACCGCAAAACAAATAAAAGTGGTTTAGTAATAGAAACAAAGTGAAGTCAGCTGTTTAAACGATGAACTGAGGTTACCACGGAAGAAGCAACGAAAGCTGTCGAGCTTGTTTTGTCCTCGTTTTTCTGAGTTGACGTGCGGATGACAGACTATGATTGACTATAGAACCTTTCGTAGAAAATCGGCTTTCAAAAGCTTTAAAACTGTCGGTCATTATCCCAAAACGAACTTACAGTGTAATCGTTAGCTCCAAACACGGGTGATTTTTCGTGAGGGAGGCGTAGGAAAAAGTTTTTATTGCCACATCAATTGGTTCTTGGTACTCTACTTGACGTGCGGGTGACAAACTATGATTGACTAAAGAACTGGCTATTGAAAATTGGCTATCAAAAGCTTTAACACTGTTGGCCATTATCCCAAAACGAACCCACAATGTAATCATTAGTTCCAAGAATGGGTAATTTTTTGTGAGGGAGGCGTGGGAGAATATTTATTACCATGTCCATTAGTTCGTGGTACTTTCCAAGTCGAAAAAAAATGAGAAAGATTGGGAAGGAACTGTCTATTGCATATAACATTTTCGGTTTTTTTAGGTAAGTTAGTTTTTAGGGCATAGCTTATCTATCTGTTTGTTCAAAAACAGAATTAATTTGACAGTTTAGTGAGTGTTCCTAGCTTTGGACAACACATCGTTTCGTATATGGTCTCACACTACGTCAGTAATACAATTGTAAAATAATTAGATCATTATACATTCAACCATATTTATCATGGAATCACCTTTCACACCAGACACCTACTTCTAGCCGAAAAAAAAAGGCCTTCACCAGATCAGAAGGCGACTATTTAAAGTTCTCAAGTCAAAATGTCAACTTCCAAAAATCGGGGCATAATTTAGATTTCTCTCATCCGGATACTAACGCCAACCCACCCATTAGAATAAGACGTTTTCAAAATACTCTCATTAGTTACTCTTCCCTCCTCTTCCGATTTCTTGCTCAATGTTTTAGAAACTTAAAATAAGGCAAAATTAAGCTAACGACAACCAGTATTTTTCGAGACTTGTTGCACCAGTATACGCACATTATACGACGTATCACAATAAGAATATTTGAGAAGGACAGAATGCGTTAGTCTTGCTTTAAAACACCTAAGAAAATCGTAGTGGTTACTTTCAATTTTTTTTAACTATACATAACTGAAAACTTGTTCCACCCTTTAATAGTTCTATGTACAAATTTCAAGTAGAACTCTGTTTCAGTTATCCTCTCTTTATACGAGAGAAAGGGCAGCGCCCAAACAAACCTAGACCAAGAAAAAAAAGCCGTGACGACAATAGAACATTATACATCAGATCATCCTTGAAAAGCGTTTTACAAAACATACTTTTTGATAAAGGGAGGTTTAGCTGAGCCCACTAAGCACAACACAGAACCTTGAAGACTGGGTGGGGCATACCGAACAACCAAAAACGAAAAGATGTCATGTTCCTCTTTAACCACATAAAACGCCAATAATATATTTCAACATTGCCAAGACAACAAAGAAAGATATTCAGAAGATGAAGCAATTTTTCAATACATATTGAATAACTTTCTCCTCAGGACAAACACGACTAGAACTTCTGGATGCAGTGATTCTCCAAGGAGCGTTAAACAAGTATGTGAGACATAATCTGTCCTCGTGTTGTCTGAATGTTTTACTTGTGTTCCTCTAATTCTGAAATCGTCTGAGGAACAATGTAACGCCACAGATAACTATGTTTTTTCTCTCTCAGTTGTTTCCCAGAAGATACTTTCCAGTGGCTGAGGTTAGGTAAGTTTAGTCGTGCAAGTGTCATCTGAATGACTCCTGTTTTGGGGAGAAAGCTTCACAGATTTATCCATCATTGTCATAGTCAGACGGGTGCGCTGAGTCGCCTGAGTGGAGTTGTTCATGCCGGCGTAGGATGTATCCAGTCTACGACAGACCAAACGCAGCAAAAGCCCTTTGAAAGCTTTGTTAAACCTCCGATTTCTGACCGAGTAGATGATGGGGTTCATAGCAGAGTTACCAAAGTGCAGTACTTTCACTGCCATCAGGACGCGCATGTCCCATACGAATGTGCAAGCAGCGCACCATTTGTAGATCAAGATCGCCGAAAAAAATGGAAGCCAGCAGATGGCAAAAACGCCGGTTACTAAGGCAACAGTATAGGCAACATGAAGGTCCTACAAAAAAAAAAAGGAAAGCAAGCTGTTCAAAATCAAACTCAAGAACACTTACAGCCTGGAGATACAGGGAAGAGAGTCAGAGGTAAGACACTTGAAATACAATTTGCGCGTTGACCGTATTCTCGAAAAGCTTTAAAATCCCAAGCAATTTATATTGTTGCTAGCAAGAGCTGCTGGTTACGAAAAAGAATTGTAGCGAGTGCGGGGTATAGATGTTAATTCGTTGTTTTTGAATTTCTAACCGAGCTGGCACAGTATGCCAAGATGACGGAAACTGTATTCAACCCTTATTTTTAAGAGCCAGAACGTCCTCAAATACATACTAACCGAACCATCACGATCAGCAGGGGTCTTGGCACTGCGAATCGGAGATCTAGTGGGGTTGAACTGCTTCGTGTTCTCCCCTTTTACTTTACCGGGCAAACCTAGCTGGATTGGCTCAGCATGATGGATTCTCTAATCTTCAAACTTCACCCTAATTTACTCAGTTAATGTTTGGTTATGAATATACCTTCTTTAGGGAACGTCTACTATGTTCTTTCAAGCTCCTTTTGGCCACAAAGAAGATAGCTATGTAAGCAGCAACTATCAACAGCGACGGAACGAAGAAGAAAGTAAACGTGTTGAATATGGCGACATCTTTCCAGCCGGAAAGCTTTCTCAATAAGGCGTTGAAAATGGCAAGCAGCCATGAAAGCACGATACCGGCGAAAATTTTAGCTGCATGGAAAACAGAGCAATTGAATATTAAGCTGTTGTATGGACTATAAGCACTAGAAAACGAGAAGTGATACGATGAAGGAAAAAGATTAAGGCAAGGGTTTGGAAAGACGGAGGGAATTGACGAGTGAAGGATTGATAGGATCTAGAGAAAGGCAGGAGGAAGAGCAAAGACAGGAAGATATAAAAAGTGAGGAAGAAAGTGTGTTGAAAAGGAAGAAGTTTTTGCATACCTTTACTGATCTTCCTGTGTTTTAAGGGTGCAACTATAGCATAACACCGCTCTATACTAATACACGTCAAGTGCAGAATAGACGACACACCCGATACAATGTCACCCAATTGGTAATACTTATACAAATCGTTCTTGAAGTCAAACGTGACAATGAAATATATCCATAGGGGAACAGAAAATAACCCAACCAAAAGATCCGCCACAGCTAGAGAGAATATGAAGTAGTTGGTTTTCGTTTTAAGCTTGGGGGTGGTAAGGAAGGCGATGATGATCAACAAATTCCCTGAAAAAAGAAGAAAAAACGATGTTAAATTGTTATTATTGAAATAGGTCTCCCTCTTTGCGAAAACAGTTCCATGGCGCCATTTTTGAACGCATCTTCCACTGGCAATTTTCAAACTGAAAAGGATAGTGGTTCCTGTTCACCAATTTTCAAAATAAAAATGGCCTATTATTCCTTAATTTTGAGCAAAATCGCTTTCAAATTTGCCGCTTCACTATTCACGAATAATTTTAATTATTAATAACTGGTGAGGCGGCATCAAAATAAAAGTACTTCTGTCGATTAGAGTGGATTTCGATTGCGAAACCAAGCCAAAGTTATCACCAGTTGATCGAAAAAAAAATTAATATTAAAATGAGGCCAGCTGACAGCCAAGCTATCTATAGTGAGTTACCGAGCTTCCGAACAGCACCAGCCACGCTTATGCCGCCATTTTACAATTCCACCCAAAAGAAACAAATGATTTTTAAAAAAATACCTTTAACCCTTTAACTCCTAAGATCTGATTGTTGATTCCCTCCTCCAACTGCCACACTTATCCTCTTAAATTTGTTATGAGAATTTGGTATAAGATCATGACAAAAACTTCTACCTGATAAGTTTGAATATTCTCATTACCTGTTTGTTGGATAATTTAATGATCTTGTAGGGAGAAGTTTCATGTTAATCACTGGTGGGAGTTAAAGGGTTAAACCAATATCAGTTAACCCTTTAACTCCCAGAAGTGTTTAAAATGTAACTTCTCCCTATAATATCCTCACCTCATCCAACAAACAGGTTATAAGAAAACTCAAACTCATCAGGTTCGAAGTTGTTATCTTGATCTAACACAAAATTCTCAATACTAATTTCCAAAGACATGTGTAGCAACAGGAGGGGAGGATCAACAATCAGATCTTGGGAGTTTATAGGATGAACAAAGAGATTCCAAGTTGCCGTATGTCTTTTCAGTAATAGATTATAGATGACGTCAAAATGTGGTAAGGACAAAAAAGCGGTACGTGAGGAGATATCTGAGTGTCACTGATGTTCTTACCACATTTTTAAGTCAACTGTGATCCATTACTTTACAGACCCACGGCAAAATAGAATCTACATATATGATAAAAAGGGAAATTTTGTGAAAGGTATTGTCATCTATGCGTCTGTCCTCCAATATATCATGACTAAGAACCGATCAAATGCGTTTGTAATTCAGCGCATCATCTAAAACCATAAAGAACAAATTTTCTCCACGAGGGTTTTGGTTACCAAGGTTACGTATCAGTGAAAAAGATGACGATCTTAAAAACAAAGTAAACGACTTTCCTCTTTTATTCTGTTTATATGGGACAAAAGAACGGAATTCGCGAGCGAGGTCAGTTCAGCAGTTAATATGCCCCGTTCACCGGATTTTTTGTTTTTAAAAGGCATAATGTAAAATGCCTTAGGCGAGCTAAGCAATAGAATATTCAAGTCACGTACCACAGTAGCAATAAGTAAGGTCATCTCTAATGTCTTTGTGTACATACGTCTTTAGCTGACGATGTATTTCACAAAGTTAACCTAAATGGAAGCCCACGTGTGGGGTCCGTTAAACGCATTAGCCGGCGCTGGGGCCTTACAATTTAAATAATGTCCTTGCTCTCTTGTCTGATTTCAACCCGAGCACAATATAAATGTCTGCTGAAGCAGGATTTGAAAAGAGATCAAACTAAGCCTGAAACATTCGTCGTGTTCTAAGATCTAACTAAGTTTAATGCAACGCATCTATTTTTCAGTCTCGTTTAGAAACGTGAGAACCAGTCATGTTATTATAAACGCGTTTAAAATCATTCACTAATACTAACCCGCAACAATGAGGATTACGAGAGCAGAATATATTCCAACTCCAGTATAAACCCAGCTTGGCTCGATCTGAAGAGCATCAGCAGGAGCTCTTTGCGTAACATTTGTGGAGTTTTCCATTGATCCGTGATTTAAATCCCAAGTCAGCGAAACTCAGTGCTAATAATAGAGAAGGATCAAGAAAGACGAATTATTGATAGTCATGCTCTCTAATTGGTCAATAACCTATCGTTTAATTTACCAGTTGGCCGAAAGAAATAAACGCAATTTACATTTAGTTCATCCTGACCATCCATCTTTAGCTCGAAACATTCAAAAACATTTTCTTGAGTTCTCTCGACGACATGGCTTTTTTTTTCTTCAAAATATCGATATCGAGTTTATTCGTCTCTCACCCGCGTAACCCGCTGAACTTACCACCTCAGTATAGTCTGACGAAGGGCTAACGCTCGAAACGATCAACTCTTTAAGGTGGCCAGTGTACGTTATCAACTCAGTTGATAATACTAAACTCCCCTGTTATACTCTCCCACCGAAGTAGTACCAGAGTTTCTTTAGAAACTTACCCCCTTCACCAATTTATTAAGGCTTCGCCTTCTGATTACTGGGCTAGAATAAGTCGTACGATCTTAGAAGAAAAATAGCTATCAGAGATAGCTCATCACGTGGCCGCTTTAAACTATCGAAGATCAAAATGATCCTCTTTAATCGATGAATCGCAATATTTGGCCCTCACAACGTCTTCTAATTTGCGCTTTTCTAAATCGCAGCAGAGAACGTCAACACCTTCGCTCAACTGCTATCGAAAGCCTCAAGTTCTCTTCAGTCTTATTTCACCAAACTTGCGAATGGAAAACAACCTTAAAGTACAAAGACAGCAAAGTAATAACGATCAGCAAAAGCTTTACAACTTGCTTGAGTCAAGTTGATGACGTGCTGCCAGCTCACCGTTGGCCATCAGTGTACCCAACGTGAATAAGTCTCGACGCCATTAATGAACAGACCTCCTCATGTGAGGAAGTCTGTTTGTTAATGTCGTCGAAATTCATTCACGTTGGGTACGTTGATAGCCAACGGTGAGCTGGTAGCACGTCATCAACAGGTAAAATGGAACTTAATAATAAACTGAAAAACCGACAAACCTACTCTGAGGTTGCGATTCGTTTTTCATCATGAATAGGTCACATCCTATAGTCAAGCATCTTCCACACTGTGGCTGCCGTTTTTAGGTCGTGATTTACTATTTAAACTGAATAAAGGTTTTGGGCCAATGGAATTCATGGCATTGGATCTTCATTGATTTCAGCATTGATACCTATTTTCTTCTATTTACGTTACTAATATAGTGAAAATATTAGTAGATTTTCCCGACGACGGCTGTTAAGCAAACTCAGAGTTATCACAAAACCTCTCTCGGATGAAGGATGCAATCTTACATTTTCCATTACCTGGGTGAGTTAACCTTCTTACAGCAAAAATATTTACCTTTACGATAGATATGAAGAGTCATGCGAAATTTGAAATTCACTCACGATGGCCGGAATATCTCGCGTACGCTAAAAAGGTTAATTTTGCGGCGTCTTTGGACTGTCCCTTTTAAGCGCCAAGCAGATCAGCTCGTCATTCTCAGTTTTGTCCGACAGTTATAAGATCTGTGGGAAGGTAGTTTGACCGGTCAGAGCACCAAGTTTAGCTGGCTGGCCGTTGAAAGCCGGAATATTTACTTCTACCCCTGACCTCGGCGGAAATTGCTGAAGAAAGGGGGCGAGATTACATATTTGACAGTGACGTGAGTAGATCAATTTCCGCCGTCACCATAATGATAATCTTCATTACAGTCATTGGCTCCACGGTAACATTAAGGTAGAGGTTAATATTGTCACGGAAAACGAATGATGCCACTTTTTAAGTCAAGTATTACTGAAAAAGAGCAGATCGGTAAATTGCCAAACCATCGAAAACTTTGAGTTTAGCTTTCTGACTGGATGTTTGCCATATGATATCACCCTGCAGATTTGCCTTGCGGATGTAATAAACAACTTACAAGGGAATATATCAGCTTAACAATAGCCACCTTAACGAATATTGGATTAAATAAGAAAAATAATTCATTAATAAGTAATGGAGCTTGCTTACGGACACAATTTACTGAAAACTATATACCAGTACAATTACAACTGATTACAAAGGAGTTTTGGTATGACTCGGGAGGGATAACTGAAGGAAATTCTAAATTGATTTTTAAAGCATTTACAACTTTTTGTATTTCAACCAAAAGGCTGTTTTTTTCGGTTGAAGGTGAAACCAGGTGTTCCCGCATCATATGCAAAAATCGCTTCAACGCGAGAGGAAAAAGTGGTAACACACTTCTACAATAAAATGAGCTCTACTTAATAAGCGTTGCTACGACAAAATTAAAAGGCATTAGAAAGAGAAAACTGCAAACAATCACTTTTTACGAAGGGCGACGTTTGATACAAAAGAGAATTGTATCAGGATTTTTTTAATTTGTGGACTGGTAAGAAAAATAAAATTGATTATTTAAAGCTAAAATTGGCGGCAAAGTCTTTGATCTAGCGGTGTTCTTGAGTAGGGAGAAACAACGAAGATCCAATTTGATAAGCTGAGAATCAGAGCCACTCATGCGCGAAGAACAGACAACTGGATATAAACTCTGCAGGTGTGAAATGAAAATGTAAATATCTCTCTCTACGAAATGTAAATATATATCACTTTAATCAGGACAAAAGATATTGATGCAGTATCAAAGTCCCTGATGTTTGTTGAAAGATTGGCCCAAAAAACTTGGCTTTAAGAAACGGAGAGATACTTTATCAAATTTGATTGTTTATTTGCACTTTTTAATTCGATTCCACTCTTCATTGATGTTTTTCTTTCTACTCTCGTTTCAGTAGTAATAATTGGGTTTGTTCGTCAAGATATTTTCAGAACGTTAAAAACACTTATGAACGAATGAATATTTGATCGATATTTTTTTGTTTCACTGAGATTTACTTCTGCCTTAAAGGCCTACTGAAATAACGATATACCAACTAATTCCGAACTAATTCCTTTTAAAACCAGTAACTGAGAAATTAAATCATATAACGTTAGTTTATAAACAAGACCCTTTTAGATGCTCGAAAGATGAAAGCACGCCGCGATACTGAAAACATAACTCGTTCTCAAATTTTTCAGCCGCTAAATCCTAAATTACTTCTATCCAGTCTAACCTCCAAATAGTTTGATTTATCGTTAAGACTGAAGCTAAAGTAAAGGAAATGAAGCCATTTCGCGCTCTGGTCTTCGTTTCGTGAACGCGCGAAAGCATCCTAAAAAATCACTGAATTCAATCAGTGATAAGCTGTACTCAACTACAGGAGTCTAGACAAAGCTATGCACAAGAAACTTTAAGAAAGGAATCGAATTAATCAAAGAAAAATCACCGAGGCGGCAACATCTCTGGCTGCGAGGTATGACACAGCAGACAAATGAAAACGAAGTCGGAGAAATTGCCTTAACTGGAGCCTTTCGGAAGAAAGGAATGCATGTAGTTTGTTTGCTTATGGAGAGAACAACACACCTTGTGTATATGTCAGCCTTGAAAGCGCAGGAGAAAATCACACACGAATGCCGCCGTTAAGATTGAAATAAGAAAAATCACTCTGCCTAGTAATCGATCAATCTCTTGTTGTGAGTGTAAGAAAATGTCACAGATAATAAAATACCCACTGTGTTGGTCTAAAATTCAAGATAACTTGTGATTTCTGATTCAGGAAGACAACATCAGTAGAGACAAATTTAATGGACCATATTTCTTCCAGCGAAAAAAGTAGGAAGAAAGTGATAAAATTACCCTTTTTCTGATGTTAACCCCAAAACAGAAGTGCTAGGAAATACTTGTGCTATGGTCGCTAGAGCTTACCACGTTACACCTGCCTCTGGGTAGTAATTTATTCCCTAACGGAGAAGCGAGAAGTGGCGGCTACTTTGGAGATGTTTCATGATTAAAACTTACCAGTTAAATCGTAGTTTTCAAGTTTTCAAATAACTGTCGAATCATGAAAGTCCACCGTCTGACTCAAACAAAATTGTCACTGAATGCCCACGTGAAGGAAAAGATTGAACTAACGGTCTTAAGTCCAAAGGAATATGGCAATTTCTGTGATCTGGTGATTACACGATCATGTACAAACAAACTCACGATCGAATTTGTTGCTGTACATCGGTAAACAGTAAGCAAGGATTATAGCCTTCTATGTGCAATCATATCGGCCGGTGTACTGCTAGCTGAACCTCAAAATTGAATTTTTGGAGATTAAAACACTTTGAAGCCACCTACTGTTAAACTAATAATCGCATAAAACACAAATAGATTCAAATTTCCCGCAGATTTACACAATTCAAAGAATACAAAGTTAAGCTATTCATCTGCGGGTCTTTTACATCAACACAAATTCACTGGTGATTTACAATACCACCCTGTTTTTGGCCCAGGAGCTTTTGGCGACGTCAGTAAAACCTTTCAGTTGTAACTTTATACATCATAGATTATGCTTATTTCTGAACACATGAGAAATTCAATCAAGATTCTAAAACACTTAATAAATGCATAAATACATATATATATATCCTTATGCGATCAGTCATAGACTAACAACCGTCACTTTTACTTATAATGGAGACAAGATGGTTTCGGCCGCGTACGCGGTACTAGCTAATTTTTATTACTAATTACATTGCGCAAAGTTGCCGTATTTAGGTTTTATAACGGAAGGGGTGAATAATTATTGAGCTTCCGAATTTTGTACAAATTTCAAAGATGCCTCTTACCATGTGTCGCATCCTAACCTTAAGGTTCGCGGAATGTACACCTTTGATAGATGTGGTCTCGTGTATAAATCATTTTCTCACTCCCAGTAAGTGCTATGGCCTTATCTCCTCTTAATCTATGGTTCTCTTTTACGCACGATTTGGAATTTACTGAATGGTTAACCGTCGTAAAAACAGCTGAACACATTTCCTTATTACTACAACGTGAAAGTGACTCATTTTGAGCTTGAAAACTAAGACAAATAATTAGTATACAGCTGATATTGACACCAGGCTTCAATTGATATCACTTAGTCACACAAACCTATCAACCAAGCATTGCTCAAATTAGCCGAACTCCAGGCTATAGGCGATTACCTTAGTTATTTATTCATCGAACAGTTCGATAAATTCTCGACCGCAAGAGTTTTTTTTTTCAAACCCCTCTTTTCCATACCAGCAAAAAAAGATGGAGAGTAATTTCATGAACCACTTTTTAGGCTTTACGTAGTTTGTCTTAGTAGGCAGAAAATAGAATTTTTCTACTGGCCAAAGCACTCATAAATCTGGCCGCACAGGTTAGCCAGATTTCTTCGTGAAAACAACGTACTAATGCTAGCAGGCAAAACCAAGATCATGTTTTCAATTAAGACCAAATTCTTTTGAGTTGGTTGATTAGGTGGAATTTTTTCCGTGGCCTTTTGGGTGAAATACCTCTTAAAGGTTGATCTAATCAGGACTTTTTCCACACCAGATTGAAAAGGTCAAAAAAGCAAGGGTAGTAACCGCTATCGTTATCGCGGGCTTAATGAGGTTGCGATGGGTGGGGCTCCAGTAGCTTGTAAAATAACGCTTTAAACATGCTTTTTCGACAACGCTGGATATGAGAGAGGGAAATCAGTTCGAATACTCTCAATTTGTGAAAGTACCATCTTAGTACCCGCACAATTTTAGTACCTATGCAAAACAGTTATAACTTAATTAATTAGTGGTCACGAATACAAAATACTTTTGTCTCATCGTAAATTGACTTCTAAATCAATATCAATTTTCACTAGAAGACATAAATACGATTCTGAAGTTAAAGCAGTCAAAATAAGCACATTGTACGCCGAAATAATGAACTGAGAAAAAAACTGTCGGAGCCGAGTTTTAATAGCTTTTAAACCACTATACTTAGTTATCTCCTCGATGAACTGAACTGATTTGTTATCTTATACTTCTCACATATGTCTGACAACAAGTTGAAATTTTCTTTCCTCTCAGATTTTGAGTTAAATGCACTTGGAGTAAGATGTTTTCTAAGAGTAAAATCTCTTCTTCGTTTTGTTTTTCTGACCATCAGATACTCTTTTCTAAGTACGTACTTCGGCTATGTAACTTTTTTGTTCTGGGAGATATCAGATTTCTTCTCTCAGCCAATCTGTGAAAATCATACCTTTGGTACCTCGCTTTACCAGAAAGGTTCAGCATGAATTAATGAATAACAGACAATACACTCCAAATTTAAAAAATTTCCCTAGAAAGTACTCTTAAACTTTTTTTTCTCTTTTCAGGGAGTCTGTTCAGTTGTTCACCTTTTTGGCGTTGAATAATTTTAATTCAACTTGTTCTGAATTGAAACTGATGATGAAAAACTAAGTTACTGCCTACCACTAAGAGTTCAATCGTGAATTACTGGTAAAGAGACCGCGAACGACAGCGCATCATGTTACATTTACACCATCAATGCACTAATTTATCATCCTATATCCATGAATGGTCATTAAGCTGCAGAGTTTGTGTTCAGAAGAAAAATTTAGCCAACAAAAGATTGTGTAATGGAGCAACACACTATCAA